CTCAGGTAAGAATCTGACGGTGCAAAGTTCTCAGCTTCAGTAGGGTCCTCCCACACATCCCCATCCCAAGTTACAGGATCCCATTCTTTACCAACTAATGCCCTTACTTTAACTGCTGACACCCTCCAAGGCTGAGACTTGAGTTTTCATTGTAATTCAACCAATCTTGTACTGAGGGTTTTGGTTTGATTTTCCATGACTTGATCTCTGTGGCTGCTGGAGAGGAGATTCTCTTCCAGGGCACACATAGACACCTTTAGACTGTTTATGCGCATCTGGAGCCTGTCAGTCTTATCACTGAGTTCATTGTTCTCCTTCACCTTATTCTGAGATGCTGGAAGGCGGTTAATGGTTATCAGAAAACACATTTTTTGCCTTTGTCAATTTACCCAGATGTGCTAGGAGCAACCTATCAGCAGCAGCATTTTCCTTATTTTTCCACAAATTGTCAAAAATGTTATATACAGAGTCATCAAATCCATTGCCTCTCATAACTGGTGAATCAGGAAAATCAGACGCATTTGTCTCCTTAAGTTTGCAAAATATTTCACACCATGGGCTTTCAGCAGCTTTTCCAAGAAGCTTTAGTAACTGGAGATGTTTCAATTACTCTAAGATTTGGAAAATTGGAAAGCCTATTGTAGACTTTTTTAATTAACCTTTTGGCACATGCCTTTAATCCCAGCACTCAGGGAGGCAGAGGTGGGAGGATCTCTATAAGGTCGAGGCCAGCCTGGTCTACAGAGCTAGTTCTAACATAACCAGAGTTGTTACACAGGGAAACCATGTCTGGAAACACAACCAAAAATCATCCTTATACACCCATTTCTCTAAAACAACTTCTGGCACCAAAATCTGTATTAATCAAGGATCTCTGGATAAACAGAATTTATGTATTTCATTCTATATATCCATAGGGGGTTTATTAGAAGCTCAGGCTATGGCCCTGCCAATTCAACAATGGCTGTCTACCATCAGACTGTCTAAGAATCTAGTAGTTGTTCAGTCCATGACACTGGATATCTCAGCTGGTCTTTATGGATGGCAGAATCCTGAAGAAGCAGGCTTTAATTCAATGAAAGAATGGATGTGCCATCGAGAACATCAGGCAAAGAGAGAGCAAGCTTACTTCTTCCATGTCCTTCATATAGGCTGTTGTCAGAAAATGTGGCTCAGATTAAAGGTGGATCTTCCCACTGCAAAAGATTCAGATTAAAAGTGGATCTTACTTCAGATGATTTAATTAAGAAAACCAAAACAACAACAAAACACCCAGCTGGGCATGGTAGTGCATGCCTGTGATTCCAGCACTCTGCGAGGCGGAGGCAGATGGATCTCTGTGAGTTAGAGGCCTGCCTGTCCAGGACAGCCGAGACTACACAGAGAAACCCTTTCTCAAAAAAAAAAAAAATTCCTCACAAGTGTATACTCAGCTGCTTGGGTTTTAGTTAATTCCATGTGTAGTCATGTTGGCCACCAAGAACAGCCATCAGAATTCCCTAACCCATGGAGTGACAGCGAGAGGGGAGCGTGAGGAATTGATGCTGCAGTTTTCTGATGCTGTGAGGTAGTGAACATACAACTGTGTGACAAGCCTCCCTGCTCTCGTTGGGGTGGATAGCTTTACAGTCTGTTTCATTCATGATCCATGGCACTGCTGTTGACCAGGTCACTAGATGCTGCTGAAGGCTTAACTATTTCTAAGAATCACATCTGGCCTGAGAGAATGTCTAGATGTGATACTAAGTCTGTGATAATATTAAGTCTCTAGCTTCATTTGCTTTAGAGAAAAATCCATAATTTTGGAAGCCACGAAGGCAAACAATTTATTATTAGTTTCCTGCTAGTCTCCCATAAGGCCTCTGAGTCAAGCTACTTAAATTGTTCTCTGGCAAAAGTTGCTCTGTGCTCCCTGATCCCTGCCCTATTTGGTATCTTAAATTGCAAGGTTAAGTAACTTCCTGACAAAAAGAAATGAGTCAGAAAACACGCTAATCAGTAACTTTTCTCTAGATTTACAGACTCCAGAACACCAACTGACCTTCAGACAGTAAAAGCTTACAAGTCAGAAAAGCAGGCCACTGTGGAATTTATGACTGTCCCAGCTTTTCTCAAACTACAAAGATAAATTTGCTCAAATCCCTTGGTTGCCATAGAACTGCAGACCCTAAGCAAAATGATCTCTGCTGGTGATAGTCTCCTATCTTTTTTGTTTGCCGACTTTCCAAATAAACTTTTTTTTTTTCTTTGTTCCCAACCTTTGAGTCTCTGGCTTTTTCCAGTGATGAGTAAATGAATGTGGGTGCTCTAACAGCGGATGTAAACCTTGGTAATTTTCAGGCTGATCAACAAGTCTGGAGCTTTCCCGCTAGGCAGCTGTTTCTGGTGGCTGGTTGTCTACCTGGGCTGAGTCACATGATCCTGAGCATTCTGACAGATCATCCACAGGTAGTACAGTCAGTGAGATACTGTGACTTACTACTGGACTATCTGATTACATGATGAGAGGAAAAGTGAATGAGTCCCAGGTCATGCTGCCTGACTGCTTGGATGCTTATGGTTGCAAAATGCCTGTCCTGATAGAATCCAAGTCTCTCTGAGGGACCCAGAACATCAGAAGATATTGACTGGTGGACCCATAGTGGGAATGAAAAATGATAGACCCATTTATAGGAACCCAGCTTGACATGAACACAACCATTTTAGACATAACTTTCTTGGTGCTATGGCATGTGACCACAGCATACTTTCTAAGCCTATAGGAAAAACAAAGTCATTAAGATAAGTCAGGTGAGCATTTCATGATAACTACTGATGGCCAAATTGTTTTTAAATTATATTTAATGAAATAGGTTTAGAAAAATAATTGATGGGGGCTACATTCAACTTTGTGTATAAACCACTTCCTCTTGCTGTATAGTGTAGTTTTTCTTGCTGACACTAGAGATACAATTAAGTCTGTAATTTTTTGTTTCTTTGTTTTTCAAGACAGTGTACTCATACCTGTCCTGCACTCCCTTTGTAGACCAGGCTGGTCTTGAACTCACAAAGATCTGCCTGCTTTTGCCTCCCAGAGTGCTGGGATTACAGACACACCACCAAACCCAGCTTTAGTCTGTAAATGTCTAATAAATTTGCTGCATTTTGCTGAGCATGGTGGTGCACACCTTTAATTCCAGCACTCAGGCAGGCAGAGGCAGGTGGATCTCTGTGAGTTCAAGGCCAGCCTAGTCTACAAAGTGAGTCCAGGACAGCCAAGGCTACAAAGAGAAACATTGTTTCAAAATGAAAAAAAAAATCCTGGATTTTTTTTCTTACTCTTCTACATGTACATGTTATTGTGAGCTGTGTACATGTGCATACACATATGTAGGCTAGAGATCAGTGTTGGGAATCTTACTTGATTGCTATTCACTTTATTTTTAATTTTTATTGCATTTATTTGTGTGTGTGTGCGCCTGTGTGCCTTCCACAACAGCAAACTCAGGCCTCCTGTCTCAGTACTGGAGTTACAGATTTGTTGCTTGGTCTGGCTTTTACATGGGTGCTGAAGATCAGAATTTAAGCCCCTAAGCTTGCATGGCAGACAGTTTACTGAGTCACCATCCCATTCCGTTGCCCAATTCTTTGTTTGATCTTTCAGTGTTTTAGCAGCCAGTTCTCTCACACGGAGTTTTCCCTTTAAGTCAGGGGATCTGACTGGGCGTGGTGACACATGCCTGTAATCACAGTACTTGGTGAGGCAGAAGCAAGCATGTCGTTTTGAGTTCAAGGACAGCCTGATCTACAAATCGAGTCCAGGACAGCCAAGGCTACACAGAGAAACCCTGTCTTGAAACCCCACCACCACCAAAAATAATAATAATACATTTTAAAAATAAATTAAAAAGTGGATCCACTGATAGGTGACCCCAAGACTTCATCATAGCCCTCCGTATTATGAGGGCTTAGCTGGAAGCTGTGGCTGATCGGTCATGATATAAATGAGTAGTAATCAAAGTGAATCACAGTAACCAAGTGGCAGTGTGACTGTCCAGAGAGAGCTATGGGGACCTGACAATGATTTGTCCTGACCTAGTTCCAGTCTACCTCAGGACACGGGTGGACCTTGTAGTTTATGTAGTTTCCTTCAGGGGTAATGGAACCAGTTGAGAAAAGGGCTGACTGGCTGACAATGTGATGGGGATAGTTTAAGGGAACGGCAGGCTGCCTGCCCAACAGCGCGAGGGCTGTGCTTCATAAAGTCACACAGAGGGCTGTAGGGCACAGATGACTACTACTATTGACTGCTGCACAGCCTGAGTGAAGAAGAGAGTGATCAGAATGGACATCTGACTGCGACGAGTAATTATTTATTTGAATCAGGTGACTGACTAAGTACCTATATATGGCCTCAGGTCCACCCGGAAGTGAATGCCTGCTTGAGGTTAAAATATAATGACGGACTTAATTGGGTCTGACAAAACAGTCCCTTGATGACTGGCTGACGAGGTGATTGGATAGCAGGGTGACTGACGGGGCAGGGCCTCGAGCTATTTCAGCCACTGCTACAGCCCAATGCACTCTGGGAGCGAACAGCGAGCAGAAGAGCAGCAAACCTCCAGATCACTCTCGGTGACGGGAAAAGGTCCAGTCACAGATCGGGGGTTGGTCCACGCGGGAGCTGTGGCCAGCGAGAGAAGGCCAATAAGCTGTTCTTTCCTGGGCACGCCCGCGCGTGCTCTCTTCTCGCGAGACCTGCTAGGCCCGAATGTCGTTAGCTGTGGAGAAAGATGGCGGAAAATTTAAAAGGTGAAGCTGTGGCGGTAGAGAAACAGGCTACTGGCGGGGCCATGTAGAATGGAGGGAAGGTATTGAGGGCTCCTGGCCTGGCGTCCGGAGCCACGGAGCCAGGAGCTAGTGGGCCGGCGCGGAAAAGATGCGGCTGGAGAGAGCGCGGGCCCGGCGCGCGGGCTGGGCGGGGCTGAGGGGAGGGGGCGCGTGCTTCGGCCGCGGGGGGCACCGGGCTGCGCAGACTGCGCATGGGGTTTCTTGGCCGCGCACGGCTGCCTGGCGCGCCCACGCGCTCGCGATAGTCCTGAGGAGAAGGTTGCGGCCACACGCGGGAAAAGCGGCTCCCGGTGACCGTTACCCTTTCGGTTTCCACGGGAGACGCCGGAAGAGGAGGAAGAAGGGGAACGGAGCCCCCCACCCCCAAAATGGGGGAATCAGCGACTCGAGGTGTGAAAGGTATCTCGGCGAGACAGGGGCAAGGTTTAGGGGAGACCCTCCCCCCAGGAGCGGGAGTGGGGGCCTCGGTGATAGGAGGCCTGGGCTCCTCCATGTGCAGAAAAAGAGGGGGTGACTGTGTGTAAAGCGGGCTCCTCAGCCGGGAGTAAAGCTGTGAGAATAGACTCCACAAGTGTGAGCCAGAGCCACGCGGGGTGCGGGTTAAGAGCGCAGCTGTGGCTAGCGAGCTGCCAGATGCTGGAAGTGTTTTCTGAGGCAGGTTAAAGGCTCTGGGAAAGGAGAGGCCTCAGAGAGGGCTTAGTCCCCCGGCTGGGCCCTGAGGGAAGGATGAGTATACACGCAATGATTTTGAAATGTGCTTGAATGTTTTTAGGTTAACGTCTAGAGCTTTTTGCTAGGACTGTCTTAGGTTTGAGTAGTGTAATGTGGGTAGAAAATATTGATGAACCTTTTTTAAAGATGGAATTGGTTATTGGCAACATACACTTAGCATGAAGTGTTTTCTGACATAATTTAATTTTTTTAAAAAAAGCTTTTAAGTAAATTCTAAGGATGTGCTTTGAAGCAAAAATAATTTTTTTTCCAAGACAGGGTCTCTCAGTGTAACCTTAGCTGTCCTACTCAGTATGTAGACCAGGCTGGCCTCAAACTCGGTGATCCCACGTGCCTCTGCCTCCCAAGTTCAATTTGTCTTGAACAGTTTGGGTGAACCTAAAGAGTCAGTGTCAGCGACTTACCATGTGTATTGTTTACATGTTCCTGAAATAAGAGCAGGGCCTTTTGGATTGGGTTGTACTTTCCACAGAAACATGGGATGAGACAGCAAGTAATAATGCAGCCTGGAAAATTAGGCTTTGTATATATAAAGTGGTCTAGACTAAGTCAAGGAAGCTTCTGGTAATGTAACATCCATCCGTTTACTTACTTACTTACTATGGCTGTCCTAACTCAGTATGTAGTCCAGGCTAGCCTCGAATTCTGAGATCTCACATGTGCAGGGGTGACTCTCCGTGGTGGGTAGGCTTCTCCCCAGGAGTTGCTCTGAGAATTAATTGATCAGTTCAAGGAACTGGCACTTCCTGTTGCAGAGGGTCTTAGCTTTGGGTGAGGCCTGTAGATGAAATTTTTTGTGACACTTAAGTCTTTTCATTCCAGGCTGCACTGTGTGTTGCAAGTCTTCGTGGAATCAGCTGCAGGATCTGTGCCGACTGGCCAAGCTTTCTTGTCCTGCCCTTGGTGTTTCAAAGAAGAATCTTTATGACTTTGAAGTGGAGTACCTATGTGATTATAAGAAGATTCGTGTAAGCCTGGTGGGGGTGGGGAGGTTTGCTAGGACTAATGAAATGATGATGTACACAACAGATTTTATATGAAAGAGGTTTATTAGATGGAGATGAAGAGAGAGAGAGAAGGAGAGGACAAGACATGATAGGGGGAAAGAAGGGAGTTCCCAGACAGAGAGAGGGGATGGGCAAGAGATGAGGTCAAGAAAGCAAGAAAGTATCCAGACAGAGACAGGGGAGAGGTCAAGAGATGAGGGCAAGAAAGCAAGAAAGTATCCAGACAGAGACAGGGGAGAGGGCAAGAGATGAGGGCAAGAGAGCAAGAAAGTATCAGGTTGATCCCTTTAAAGAGAAACTTAACCATGCCTGCCAGGTGTGGCTACCAGGAAGGCAACACATGATGACATCCTAGGTTGCTAGGCAACCCAGAAGCAGGTTGCCTAAATACTAACAGTGTGTGCCTGTGTTTGTGATACCCTGGCAGAGGTCTCTCTTCTTCACCCAACCTCCACATCTGTTTGCAAAGAGGGTTTTCTCCTCTGATTCTTCCTGGGGGAAAAAGCAATGAATTGACCCTCTGATTTAAGTGGCTTTCTCAGAGAGCAAGAGGCAGATTGAATCCTCATGTATGTCCATATACATCTGGAAATATAAATTAGTTAAAGACATACAAAGATTGAGATTCTGAGCCTAAAAGTGTAAGATGGCAAGTTACTGATGCCAGAGAAGTAGTGCAACAGATCTGTAAAATGGGGAGAACTGGAGTTGTGAGAATTAGTTCTAGGGTATGTCTTGCTCAGGACAATACTTGCTGCATAGTGAATGCCAGGAGAAAAATGTTAGTTGCTTTTCCTTTCCTCTTTTTCTTTATTTTTAGAGAGGGTTTTGCTGTGTTGCAAAGACTGGCCCCAGACTCAGAATCTTGCTTCAGCTTACTGAGTGATGGGATTAGAGATAAATGCTCCCTTCTCCCCACTTGTATTTTATTCTTTACAGATGAGATAACAGGCATGACTTAAACTTTGTTCTATAGTTGACTGGCACTCATTAAAGCTTCCCCTGGCACTGTGCAAAAAACTGTCTGAAAGAGTGAGAGTAGAAGCAGGGGGACCAGTGGAGAGGGTTGTCTGGTGGTGGTGACAATGTTTTGATGATGTCTGAAGGGTTCGGGTTCTGAATGTATTTAGTGGGGAGTCTGAGCAAAAGAGGAACCAAGAATAACTACAGGAGTTTGGGCCTCAACAGCTAGAAAGAAGGAACAGCTCATTGGAAGATAGAGAAGGAAGTGGTCTGGGGAGTTGAAAAGTAGGAATTTCAAGGTGGGGTGGAAGTCGAAGTTAGTAACCCTTACTCCAGAAGCACTGCATGGAACCATTTCAGAAAAAGTACAAGGGTTTCAACGTTCATGGTACTCTTGTGTACTCTTGTGTTGCTGTCTGCCTAACAGGAGCAGGAGTATTACCTGGTTAAGTGGCGTGGGTATCCTGACTCAGAGAACACCTGGGAACCACGGCAGAATCTGAAATGTGTGCGCATTCTCAAGCAGTTCCACAAGGACCTAGAAAGAGAGCTTCTCCGGCGGCACCGCCGGTCAAAGCCACCCAGGCATCTGGACCCAAACATAGCCAGCTACCTGGTGCAGAAAGCCAAGCAGAGGCGGGCACTGCAGCTCTGGGAACAAGAGCTCAATGCCAAGCGCAACCACCTGGGGCGGATCACCGTGGAGAATGAGGTAGACCTGGATGGTCCTCCAAGATCCTTTGTCTATGTCAATGAGTATCGTGTTGGTGAGGGTATCACCCTCAACCAGGTAGCTGTTGGTTGTGAGTGCCAGGACTGTCTGTTGGCACCCACTGGAGGCTGTTGCCCAGGAGCATCCATGCACAAGTTTGCCTACAATGACCAAGGCCAGGTGAGATTGAAAGCTGGGCAGCCCATCTACGAGTGCAACTCCCGCTGTTGCTGTGGCCATGAATGCCCAAACCGTGTAGTCCAGAAAGGCATCCGCTACAACCTCTGCATCTTCCGCACTAATGATGGTCGAGGCTGGGGTGTCCGCACGCTGGAAAAGATCCGCAAAAATAGCTTTGTTATGGAGTATGTGGGAGAGGTAAGGAAATTGGTCTGGGTATGTGTGCAGCTTTTCCCACTACCTGTTTGTAGTATGTGTGTCCTGAACCATGTACCCCAAACTCTTCTACTTTCCTTTGTTCATCTGAGTGTTGTATGGGGGATTGTAGCAGGGGCCAGTGCTTTTACTTGGCACATAGCAGTGGGACCATGCTGCTATTTAAAAGAACACTGAAGTGCCTCTGGGACTATGCTGCTATTTAAAAGAACACTGAAGTGCCTCTGACAGCTGGCTTCTTAAGGGTATATAGGGTAAATAGAAGAAAATTGGAACTGAGCTCTAGGTAGCAGTCCTTTCCAAAACTATATAGTCTGAGCATAGGGCTGTATCATGTGAAGAAGCAAGCTCTCATTTTGTGATAAGGGTCATTGTATCATAAATAGTGAGTCTATAGTAGTACTTAAACTTGTCTTGGTTGGAGGTTGGGCAATAGCCTCTAGACCAGTGGTTCTCAAACTGGGTGGGGAATGACTCTTTAACAAGGGTTGCATATAAGATCATTGGAGTAGCAAAGTTAGAGTTAATGATGTAGCAATGAAAATAATGTTATGGTTGGGGGTCACCACAACATGAGGAACCGTATTAAAGGGTCATAGTGGAAGGAAGGCTGAGAACCACTGCTCTAAGCTTTCAGGTCACCCTGGGGAAAAACTGGGTGGTACATGATGCATGCTAGTTTTTGTAATTAATAATCCCTGGAACTTTGTGGGTTAACACATTAGGAGTTAGTTGGCACTGTTTTAACACAGAGTTTCTCTTTGTAGCCCAGGTTAATTTTTTTTGAGCTCACAGTCCCACTTTCCCCTCCTGAATGCTAGGGTTACAAACATGTGTCACCTTGCCTGGTTAAGGAGTTGGTTCACCTGGTTTGTGAACACTCTGGTGTGGGTGTTTCAGTGAATATCCTTTTCACATAATGACTCCAGCCCTGTAGTATTTCTACCTCTCTACCTAGGAGACTCCATTAGATACTTAGCATTTTGTAGTAAGGGACTGAAGGGGAAGATACTAATGACTCAGGCCTAGAAACAATACATGGTACTTGTGCCCACTATCTACCGGTTGGAAGTGAGTCACGAGCCTTACTTCACTGCCAGGGGGTTTGTGTATGTGTGCACCTGGTGCACGTGTGCGCTTTAACTTTGTTAGGTGTAAAACAGAAGGGGTCTGGATGGGCAACTAGCACGTGTGCAGCAGAAAGTTCACATTCTAAAGTAAGACACGGGCATTTAGGGTTGGGCAATTCTTTTATATGTAGACATGGCTTAAGAGGCTTAGTATCCCTGGATCTTGACTGTCTAAATGTGTGTTTTGTCATAATGACATTGTTCCTCTATTTCCATAGGTCCTTTCTAGGTGTTAAATACTTAAAAGTGACAGTAACTGTCCTGAGGACACATCTGAGGGTGCCCACCTGTATCAGTGACACTGATGATTAGAAACTAGAATAAAGGGTCACATCTCAGCAGGAAAGTGATGGTCTCAAGGTAGAGTAGTCTACAACATAGTAGATAACAATCTGGAGGAGGAGATGACCATACCCCCAGATTGTCTGCTAGAGAAAATATCCACGTGCTGGAGAGTCAGGCAGGTTGGAGTAGAGAGGAAGGTGTAGATACTCAAGGGGTTCCTGACAGCATAAGGAGAGAGATCCTGAACATCTGCAGTAAGAGGTTTCTGCATCCCATAGTGGCCCAGTGACCTGAAGGAAGCTTGAGCTCTCCATATTCTGGAGGTGTCTTCACCCCAGAGTGATACCAATCTGGTATGTAGACAATCTTTCTTAGAAGAGAATGCTCTTAGCCTGGGACCCCTGATAGTCGGGAAGGAGGCTTATCCAAACCCTCTGGAATCTCAGTATTCCTAAAGGTCACCCCAAGCAGGAAGCAAGTCAGCATAATTGTATTGACCAAGGTAGAGGAAACCCCCCCCCCCCATACACAGGATCTTATAGGAAACAGCACCATGCTCCCCAGGAAAGCTCAGTCCCCTCCCTGGGTTTGCTATCCTTGCTCCTCCACTCTGGAAATAGCAGAGTTTCTAGTAGCCCCCTTACCATGCCCATCTCTCATCCATTCTCTCCATGTTTCTTGATTTTTGTCTTACCATGACCTTAAGTACAGCCCTTCTCCTAGTCACCTTAGACCTGTGGATCCTTCTGATGGTGCACCCCAAACATTTTCAGAGCTAAACTCCTCTCTCCATGTGACCTGAAGCAGTAAGTACAGTAGAGCAAGAAGGGTGGCCCCTGGAGGCTGCCCACCAGCCTGCCCAAGGTTGTGTCCCAGCCCTACCACTAAGCAGCAGTCACTTTGTTTCTCTTGGTTTCCTAATCTGGAAAAGAGAAGCACTGAGGTCATTCCTCCCTGTGAAGCACTTGGAAGAAGCACTTCAACAGACAATCCAAAATGCTAAAAAATTGATTTTGTGTGTAGTCCTGATTGTCATGGAACTCACTCTGTAGACAAGATTGGCTTCAAACTCACAAGTGCTGGGATTAAAGGCATGCACCACCACTGCTGGGCTCTTTTGTTTTTTAATAACCGGACCTGATTTATTGTCTTTGTACTTGGGGTTTTTATTTATGCAGCATTGTCTTGATACTCCAGGGGTACTAAATTATTGTGACTCCAACCCCCCCAAGGGCCTCCCTTATGCTAGGCAGTACTCTTCCACTGAGCCATTCTTTGTTTTGTTTATGAGACAGGGTTTCTCTGTAATCTTGGCTGTCCTGTACTCTATTTGTAGACCAGGCTGGCCTTGCCTCTGCCTCCCCAGAGTGCTGGGATTAAAGGCCTGTGACACCATGCCCAGCTTTGAGACATGTTCCAACTTGTAAGGTGGTATGTAATTAATTCAGAGTAATATCCACAGTCTTGGATGCCAACCTTTGGGGCCACTGATAGTTTATATCAATAGTTCCTGCTCCTTTGGGTCTTTCCATGTTCCTGATTTTCATGTTTCCACAGATTATTTGTAGCCTCACCAGGCAGTAAATACTAGAGAATACTGAAACGTGCATTTTCTCTATTTTTTCAGAATGGAGGTGAGTTTTAATTGATTAAATGATAGAACTTCATTAGTAGCTTTTATTGGATAGTGAGCACATAAAGGGTGAAGCTTAGATTTCAATAAGGTAATGGTACTCATTATAAAACCAACACAAAACATTTTTTCACATATATGCTCTTGTTTTCATAATGGGTTGAGGTTTTGCTACTGACATTCTATAGATGAGAAAATAGAGGCCCAGAGAGGTGTCATGCAAGAACTTGGTGCAAGTTACAAAGCTAGCTAGTAAAGTTTAGTAGGTAGGAAATGGAGATGATTGAAACCTAGTGTTCTGGCAGGTTTTTTTTCCCCCAAGAAAGCAGACACAGAGATTTCAGGATTTCACATCCAGGAAGGGGCTGAGTAGTTTCTGACTCAGTTTTCTAGTTCTCATTCACATGAATAGCCTTTTTAAGGTGCCAATTCCTAGGCTGTCTGTTTTAATTGACAGTCTGGAGAGCTACTAGAGATTAAGATAGAAACAGGGATGAGTTTTCAGGGTGGGACATCAGACATCACAGGAGAGAGACAGGGAAGAAGAGAGGGCCTAAAAGGCCTGGAGGGTATGACTCATCCCTGCAAGACTGGGATGGAGTGGGGAAGGATGTGGGCATTCCTTCTGGTTCAAGGACTCCCAATTAGAAAGGTAGCTCAGAAAAAAGCTGGTCTGCCAGCGAACTAGAGAGGTTTAGAAACTGGCTTCTGAGGGGTTGGAAAGCCAGAGCCTCCAAGTACTCACATGGTTCTCTGGAAGATAGTGTGAACACTCTTGTGACTGTTGTTGTACCCTTCAGGAGACAAGCCTCACTGTTCATTGTGGTGATACCCTGTTTAGGACCTGGGGCCTGCTTTAGAGGAATGTGCATGCGTTCTCAACTGCATGTTCATGTATGTGCAGATGTTCATGTAGTCCAGAAGGAACTGGGTATCAGGTCCCTTGAGCTCGAGTTACAGTTACAGTTATTTGGGTTGTGGTTTGGTCTGGTTTGTTTTTTTGAGACAGGATTTCTTTGTGTACCCCTGAGTGTTCTGGACTCACTTTGTAGACAGGGCTGGCCTCAAATTCACAGAGATTGGCCTGCCTCTACCTCCCTAGTGCTGGGATTAAAGGCTTGTGTAAATATGCCTGGCCAAGCTATAGATATTTGTTAGCGGCCTGGTATGGGTGCTGAGATCTAAACTCTGGTCCTCTGATGAAGCACTAAGTACTTCAACCATTGCTCCAGCCCTAGGACATTTTTTTTCTCCAGTGAGATTTCCCTGGACTACATCCTACAGTGTGAGTGTCTGAGTCCATCTTTTTTGACTCTGACCCCTGGGGGTCAGGGGTAGGACTGGATTCTTTTATTTCCCAATCAGACTGTGACCTCTACGAGCAGGATCTAGACAATATCTCCAGTGAAAAATAACCCAGTAGACTGAGGGTGCATATTGCAGGGGTAGAATATATATGTACTGAGAGTTTGTCTACACCATCAAGAAAACAAAACACCTGAATGAATAAACAAATTGTAGATGGGGAAGACAGGTCCTTCAGAAATGAGCTAGAGTACGGGGTGGTGTGGAGTGTAGTCTGGAGGCAAATCTAAGTTTTATAGAGGCAACAGTTGATCAGAACTTTGCACAGGACATAAGTGATGGCAGAAGCAGCAAACAGGACATACTAATGTGGCCTTCCTTGTCAGAGAATACAGCAGTCATGCCCAGAGGGGGATAGAGTTGAAACCTGAAAGAACATGATCATCAAGCTGCATAAGGTGCTGGGAAGAGGTCTGTATCCAGTGTCATGAGGGAGGTGGACAGTATCTTTGAGAAAGAGATGGAAGACGATGAAAGGAAAAGTAGGCAGATGGAAGAAGCCCAGGAATGAGGTACCCTGGGCTGAAGAGATGGTGGTGATCTTTGGTACAGTAATACCATCACCCAGAAAAAAAGTATCAGCAATGCTTGAGGATTGCTAGAGGTTATAGTTAAGGGTGCAAGGGGAGGAGTAGATATGGGGCCCAAGGAGAGGACTTTCAAGTGAGGATGAGGTTAAAAATAATTCCATCAATAGCATTTGGGGTGCATGAGTAGATCAAAACTGGGAAGGTGAAGCAGCTTCATGTTCACTAGGGAGGATATGTGGAAGGAGGTGCCTACTGTTTCCAGCCCTAGATGTTACCATCACAGAATTGTGTTGTTAGGGCCTTCTCTCAGCCCTATTTTGCTCTCCTTTCTCATATTCTCTCTTATTATTCTCCCTTTATCTGTCATTTTTATCATTGGGTTTTATCCTCAGCTTCTTTCTGGTCATCTCAAGATTTGAGGATCTTGGCCTGGGGTTTTCTCTGAAGGCCTTGGTCTTCTCTCTCTGACCTGAATCTTTCACACTATGATTCTGTGTTGTTTCTGATCTAGCTCTCTTGTCTGAGTCCCTTTTTCTATTCATTGAAGCCCTCGTCTCCATTGTCCAGGGCCTCTTTACTTCCCACGTCCTTCATGTCCTTGCCATCTGCATGGCCTGTACTGGTTTTCACTCCCTTGTTGTTGCCTTGTGCTATGTCTCTTGCTGTCCTGGTCTGGGTCAGTCAGTTTCTCCTTGTCTCCTCCCCTGTACCCTGTCTCTTACTTTCTTGCCTGTTTTCTGGATCTTTCTGTCTCTGTCTCTGTGTCACTGTCCCATCTTGCTCTGCCCCCAAATATATATGATCCTCGGGGACATCTCACTGGGAACAGAAAGTGGAGGTCCTCATTTCCTTTCACTAACTGCACCTTGCAGCCATATCTCTCCCTATCATTGCAAGACAGGTCCTGCCATCCAGGGGCTGAAGAAGGGGTGGGTGGTGGCCAGCCCTCTGAGGGCTGGCAGACCCTCTATATTGCTCCTGCTCACTGTTCTTCTCTTCCCAGGGGCCAGGTCAGGGTGTAGTTGGGGCTGGCTTTCCTGAACCTGCATGACGAATCTTAACCCACCTTCTTCAGATTATTACCTCAGAGGAGGCAGAGCGGCGGGGCCAGATCTACGACCGCCAGGGTGCAACCTACCTCTTTGACCTGGACTACGTGGAAGACGTATATACTGTGGATGCCGCCTTTTATGGCAACATCTCTCATTTTGTCAACCATAGTGTGGGTGCCTCCAGCAAGTGGGCAGGGGGTTGGGAGGGTCAGACCAAGGCCCTTCCTCACCTTCCCACTGTTCTTTCTTGCCCAGTGTGATCCCAACCTGCAGGTGTACAACGTATTCATAGACAACCTTGATGAGCGACTACCCCGCATCGCGTTCTTTGCCACAAGAACCATCTGGGCGGGCGAGGAGCTCACCTTTGATTACAACATGCAAGGTGGGGGTGGCAAGGGCCCCAGGGGCAGGGGCAAATTGTGACATGGGATGTGAAGACCCTACCCCAACGCCATTCAGTGGACCAAGGGAAATTCTTTTGCTCTAAGTTTTAAGATGTTCTTCCTGACTCCTAGTCTCCTACCTAGACCCTGCCCATGGCTTATGGTTTCCAGTATTTCTACCCCCTGAACCCCAACCTTGATGCACTTGTACAACCTCTCAAAACTTGTGGGAGAGGACTTTCAGATGGAAAGTTAAGGCATACCTCGCTTGCATCTTGAGTGAACTGCTGCCCCTGTCCCTCCCAACTCTAATCCTCTTTCCCCTGCCTTGTTCTGAGCCTCTGGATACCTTGTGGTCTCCAGACAGTCCTCTTCTTGATAAACTAATCATCTCTGAGATACGTGGCAAATAATGGGCAAGAGATTTCAAGTGCCTTTCGGATGCCCAGGTTGCCCTCCATTCATTCCTGAACCCTGCCTTATATGACCCTTCTTTCCCTGTTAGCCTTCTTCCTCCCCAAACATCCCTCAACCCCATTCTAGTTCTAACCCCAACCCACCATCCCAAAGATCCTATCCTATGTGAAATCTCAGACCTGTTCCTAACCCCAAGATCCCTGGGTCTTCTTATATAAGTAAGGGATAGTAGGACGATTCATACAGGTCTTCTAACAAATGCCCCCTCCTTCCTTCTCTGGCTGTGACTTCACAGTGGACCCCGTGGACATGGAGAGTACCCGAATGGACTCCAACTTTGGCCTGGCTGGCCTCCCTGGCTCCCCCAAGAAACGGGTCCGTATTGAATGCAAATGTGGGACAACAGCTTGCCGAAAATACCTCTTCTAGCTCTGAGAAGTCTGAGGCCAGACTAACTGAAGGGGCCTGAAGCCACCTTCCTCTCTACTGCTGCCCTCTTGTCAAGAATGACCATCAGAGCATTGTCTGCCTCCGCTTAACCTCACCTGCCCTAACCTGTCCCTATCTGCTCCAGGGTCAGGCTGTGGTGAGGACTGATTCCAGCTCCCCGCTCTCTGTTCCCCCTGTCCCAGGCCCATTTTCAGAAGCTTATTTTTCATATCAGGATTTCCTAGAGTTGGAATTCATGCTATAGAGGTCCAAAGGATGAGCACCTCTGCCCCAAAATGTTTTTTTTAATAGCATCTCTGCAGCTCTGTGTAGTTCAGGCTGGTGTTGGACCCTTAATCCAGTCTCAGCTTTCCTCATGCTGAGATTATTATTTCATTTGCTTCTGCTTGGAGCCTGTGTGACCTGTTGCAGGCCTCTTCAATGCTCTTAATGGTATGAGGAAGCAACCCCCCAGGCAGATAGACACCAGAGCTCAGATACCAGCCTAACATCAAGCTGGATCAGCAACCACAGAGCCCTTGTACTCATGAAAGACCTAGGGTCTTCTCATTGTGCATTTGATGCTGCCTACCATTAACCTTAATACCCATAGGGTCTCAAGAGTTGCAGGTCTGAAAAGTAGTTGCCCAAATGCCACCAGAATGGGGACAGAGTAAATGCCTCTTTGAAAGCCCCATAGGAGGGTTAAGACTGAGATTTACTGTCAGGGAGTAGAGTTCTAGGTATGCTAGATACCATTCTGCCTTGGCATGTGATCACTGGAACTGCTAGAAGCTGGAACCAAGATCTCGGTAGTCTGTAGACAGCACTTAAGATATGATGTGCATTGACTAGAAGCTGATGAGGTGCCAGGCACTGGGTACAGCACCTGGTCCATATGGATTGTCTCAGGGAAGCCTTGAAAACCACAGGTGGAACCCAGGAAAAGGCCCATGTGGCAAAAGGCACTGTCTAGGCCAAAAATGGCTGGGGAGAGCTTGCTAGAGTATGGTGAGCCATATTCTGAGTCAGCTCTAAGTATTCACCTGGGTCTACTTGTTTCAAAAGTTAACTGCCTAGAAATGTACAAAAGGCAAAGATTCTGATGGCTGCCTTGTTCCCTGCTCTCCCCACTTTCCTGACTTTCTGTACCCAGAGTGCCCCTATGTGAGACTGTACACCCCACTCCCAGATCTATGTGTATGTCTGTATGTGTCCTGCCCACACTCCCCAGGCTGACCTTCAGGCATGGACTGAATCTGGTTCTCTTGCGTATCCCTCAGCCCTCCCTGTCCTGGAGTGCAGATCAATAAACTACATTGTTGAGACAATAAGCTGAGGGACTGGGGTTTGATAACTAGGAAATGGGAGGCTAGGAGCTAGGGCTGCCATAGAATGTGATCTGAAAGGCTAAGTCATCTGACTGTAATCTTCCTATTTGGGTACTCCTATAAAGTAAACTTGCTACATACTTGCATTTTTAAGATGCACTTGAAGAGAAAACAAACAGTCCAGTCTTACAATTTATATAAATTGACTAATCACTATTAGTTACTACAAACAAAAATAGCTGAAGAAGTAAATACAATGGAGATTAAAATTTGCTAAATTCAAGCCAGGCCCTTAATGTTCTTAGGAAGTTTTCAACTTAAAGCCTATCTGGTACATTTGGAAAGAAAACTTTTTTCTGCCAATATTTAGTGAACACCCATTTATGCTAAACACTGCCCCACATGTTTTCATCATTCCTGAAACCGAATATGTTCCAGTGCTTTTGGGTTTTGCTCAGATTCTGTGACATAGGTAACGATCTCAAACAGCCTTGTGCCAAACAGAGCAGGGGACCTAGGACAGACAGCCTATACATGTCTATATAGCTCATAGTTTTTTTTGTTTGTTTTTGTTTTTTATACCTGGACATTGTAAGGGCTTTGTCATAATCTGACTACTTGGAATCTTTACAGTTACGTGGGTTAGTATAGCAACTAAGGCATCTTGTGATGGGGGCACAGACTATTGAACACAACCTTAAAATCTGGGCAGTGGGCCCTCACATGGCACACTTATACTGTGAAAATAGACTTAGCACACTATAAATCTCTGGACACACATCCTCAAATACTCAAGAAATACCAGAAACTTGGGAATTAACTTTATACTGCTCAGAAACCTCAATCCCTAGAAATAGACTTGTAGTAAGCAGACCCTACTATACTCTTGCGACTAGACCTCCGCCAAATAGAAAGGAAGTGCTTTAACATTGGAAACGATAGCTGAGAGGACTTCCAACAGCAAGAATTACAGAGAGCTGTAAGGTTTACACCTTGGGACATGGGTAAAGCACCTAAGAGGCTTAATACAGTAGATGGACAAAAAAAAAAAAAAAAAAAAAAAAAAAAAAAAAAAAAAAAAAAAAAAACACAAAACACTATGTGCCAGGACCAGATCTTGAAAAAGTCATATCATCATGAAAGACTTGTTCACTACGATACTGGCTCAAAACCTCAAAGGGGGAACACCCTAAGCTCCAGATCCTAAACGGAGAATCTGAATGTGACAGTATATCTCATACCTGTAAAGAGATTTTTAAATAACTCAGAAGTCAAGCCTACCCCAGAGACTACCACAGAAATAGAACATTTTTATATACTTAATAAATATGGAGCTGCAAACAGCCCAGAAAAATAGAGCCGTGCTGCATATATACTCAAAAGTTCAGGGAGTTGGCCTTGCAAGAAGTCCTTAAGAGGTCAAGTTTATCATACAGCTTAGAGATCTCAATTTTAATACAGGCAACCCAGTTGCTCAGCGAACTCACCCATGTAAAAGAGATATAAAATCCTCAAAGCCAAGCTGGGCATGCCTTTAAATCCCAGCACTGGGAAGGCAGAGGCAGGTGGATCTCTGACTTTGGGTCCAGCCTGGTCTACAAATTGAGTCCAGAATAGCCAGGGCTCTGTTACACAAAGAAACCCTGTCTCAACTGCTCACTCCCTCGTCCCAACATCCAGGATTAAGTAATCCTAAATTTAAGACCTAGACTTAAAAATATAATTCAGACACTTCAAATGGTGAGTTACACCATGTGAGACTGCACTGCTAGACACAAACTAGTAGGGAGCTCAACCTGCTGTGACATTAAAACAGCTCAAGGAATTCAAATTCTAGGAAGTACCTCACATCCTGTGACATACAGATCAAAAGACATTCAAGATGAGAAACATCCACAGACATTTCAGAGGAATAACATTCAGGGCCAAATAGATCATAGAACTCAATCCCTGGATTAAAAGCACACAAAAATATCAGTTATCTCCTATGCCAGGACAAACACCCACTCAACATCACTATTTTAAAAATAAGCCAAAGAATAGATCAAATAACTTCCTTCTCACACTAATATACATGCCCATGATGAGGGTTGACTATTATACCCCCAAACAAGCCATGCACCTCACAATCATGATGGATACACGAAGGATAACAGTTCCAACAACCTAGAAATATGCTCACAAAAGCAGAGCCAGGTAGGTGGGGTGACACTCGTAAGAAAGAGGCAAGTGGAACTTTGTGATTTTGACACCAGGCTTGTCTAGATAACAAGTTCCAGGGCGACAGAGGAGATCCTGTCCCAAAACAAACCAGCAAACAGAGCCATAGCCAACCAGGCAGGGTGCCACATGTGTTTGTAATCCCACTACCTGAGAGACTGAGACAGGATGGTTATAATTTCCAGAGCAGCCTGGGCTACATAGACCATGTCTCAGAAGAAAGCAAATAAAGAAAATAGTATCTTTTAACTTTGAAATATATTCATACTTTGAAGTCTCCGATAAGGCTTTTTGATTTCTGTTCCAGAGTGTATCTGGTATCTGAAGTATCCGATGTTTTTAATTGTATTTGTTAAGAGACATCTGGGGCCAGGAATATCAGAAACAGTTCCTAGACCCTCCAAGAGGTCCGAGAGCTCATTCATCACTTTATACTACAATCCAGAGATAGAGAGACTTTTATCATCCGACACATACAGACCAGGGACCTCCCAACCAGGGACAGATAGTCCCTAGAATAGCTAATCTAGAAACAGGACTTAGAATATTAAGTTAGTTATAGTTATTATATAGGTTAATAGTTATTCTATTAACCTAGAATAGCTAATCTGTAGAAACAGAACTTTACATTTCTTTAGGTCAGGAAAGTGACAAGTTTTAGTATATGCTAGAAATCAAACTGTAGGCTGGGCTGTGTGATATACACCTGTATTCGGGAAGGTGAGGCAGTAAGACTGTTTGAACCTAGGAGCTTGAGACCAGCCTTGGCAACATAGCAAGCCCCCTTTGATCATCCATCAAAAGATAAGTTTGAGAACAGAATACATTGCATGGTTTGGTTTACATGATTTGGAAATCCATATCCAAATGATTTGGATATAAGCAGGAGAAACTCTAATTTTGATTTTTCAAGTCACCTTGCCTGAATGCCTTAGGGGATAACCTGTAGGGGGCCTTACTGCTCTTTCCCCTTCACCTTGAAAACCAGGGACATTTCACTGTGCATTTCTTTTTCCTTTAGCATCTTCCTCTTGTTTCCATCTCTTTGTACCTAACTATTTCTGTTTCCAGATCTCTTATTTGTAACCTTTTCTTGTTCTGCTTCCATCACTCTATCACCTCAGACCCCCCACCTTCATGCTTCTATCATATAGTGACACTTATGATAATGTTAGACCACCCAGATATTCTAGGATAATTTTCCCCTCTCAGGATACTTAATCATATCTAGCAAGACCCCTTACCAGTCAGTTAGCATAGCTGCAGGTTCCGGGGATTGTGCATGCTACTCTGATAGTCTCTGTTCTTTTTCAGTGGCTATGTTGCAGAAACTTGAGTCACTTGGAACTAACTCTCTTATGTGTCAGTGAGTTTAGTCCCAACTTATTGAAGAACCTAAGGATGTTTTGGTATATGTCCCAGGATGTGTATGTGAGTGTGCTCTTTTTTTGTTGTTGTTTTTAAGATTTATTTATTATGTATACAATGTTCTGTCAGCAATGTACACCTGCACACCAGAAGAGGGCGCCAGAACTCATTATAGATGGTTGTGAGCCACCACGTGGTTGCTGGGAATTGAACTCAGGACCTCTGGAAGAAGAAATAGTGCTCTTAACCTTTGAGCCATTTTTCCAGCCCACATGTGTGTGTTCTGTTTGTGTGACTTAGAAATTCATTGCTTCATGTGAGGTCTGTGAGCTATTTGTGTGTTTATGTCTCTGGTGGGCAGATAGCTCCCAATCTCTGGAACCTGCAGCTATGGTAACTGACATGATTAGGGTAGCACAAACAAAGATATCAGGGATGCCACTCCTGAGTACATCAATCCTCTAAGCCAGGGACACACACGCAATGCAAATGGAAACATATTTTTAAATATAAATCCAAAAGCAAGTCAGGTCCTTACAAAGGGGCACATAACAAAACTGTACAGACTTAACCTCCTTGAAAAATGCACACAAAGAGATCAGACTCTACTCACTATGATTCTACATTGACAGACTACAAACCTCAGGGAGAAAAAAAGAAATAAAAAAGAGAGACCAGAGACTTTAACTCCTACAACATGGAAAGACAGGCAGGTTGAGAATTTACAGGAAGGATATTCACCCAGAATAAGTACAGAAACCTGACAGTCTGACAATCAAAGTCCTTGCCACCTGAGATGGATACCTACAAACCAGAGATTTTAAATCCCACAGTAAATATCCATACTAACGCCACAGACCTCACATGCAAGACAAAAATCCAGAAACAGATTATAGGTCCAAGATCTTTTTCTTTTCTTTCTTTTTTTTCTTTTTCTTCTTGTTCAGAGTCCTAATACTATTTGACATCCTGGCATCAAACTGGTCAGGGAGCTAAAGTCCTGAAATATGTGACCAGAGACAGATTAGACGTCTGCTCATAGACCGACAAAGAAACCACAGACTTCAAATTCAAGGCCCTGAATCATGCACAACAAACAGATCAAAAACTCCACATTCAGCCAGAGAGGTAGCACACAATTATAATCTCAGCACTTAGGGAGGCAGAGGTAGTCTTGTGAGTTCGAGGCCAGCCTGGTCTACAAAGTAAGTCCAGTACAGCAAAGACTACACAGAGAAACCTTGTCTTAAAAAACAAAAAACCAAAACAAACAAACAAAAGTCTACATCCAGGGATTTACTATACGAGTAACACAGAGTCATAGAACACCAGAAACACCCATAAATAAAGCAGGTCTCCTGTAATGTACAACCATGGTCAAGTCACAGAACTCACTGACCAGGAAAATGGCAGAA